TACTATCTGAAACACACTGGCATTTAGTAAAGCAGGTCACCTCGACAGAGTGGGCCGGGTTACCTCTCCTGATCATCCCCGCATCCTCAGGCAACCGGGGTCTTCTTCGCCACTGCAGATTGGCTTACATTTTTCTAGTATTCCATTGTGAATTTTTCCTTACTGGGGCCTGGGTATTTTTTTTTTTTAATACTCTTGAGCTTTGTTCCTAGTATTGGTTAAGTTATTTGGAAACAGACTCTTTCAGATCTTGTTTTTTAAAGTTACTTAGGCAGAACCAGACAAGAGGTTAGATTGGGGCTAATTTCTTTCATTACTGCGGCAAAGACTTCTGAGTACTAGCAAGACTCAGCTGCTGCTTTAACGACAAGGTTTTTCACTTTTAGAGGTGAAAAGCAACTATTCTTGGCCCTGTGTGAGGTTCAGCGTTCCCTCTAGCCCTTTCAAGAAGCCTCCTCACATCATGTGCTGACCAGCTCTCCACCACAGGGCACTGCTGGGAACTTGGCTTCTCTCCATGTAGGTAGGGCTCTCCTCTCTGGTGATTTCATCCACAAACACTAGCCATTTGGGATTTGCCAGGCTTCTAGATTTGCTTCCTCAGCACCACTAGGCTCTTCCTGGACTTCCCTTCTTGGCTCAGCCTTCGGGAGCTGCCTGAAGGGGAGCACCTCACATCTGCCATCGCAGAGTTCAGTCCTTCAGTTCTTATGTCCTGAGAACTTCTTCATATATTTTAAGAATTTACTTTGAACTTTATTTGTAACAATATGTCAGCTATAGAAAAGAGGTAGGAGATTTTAGTGCAACCATTTTAAATTACAAACAACACATAGTAAGTGTTCAGAACAAGAATTAAAGTATAGATGCATATTGAGTTTTAAACACATTCTAACTGACCTAGAAAAACTACCAAATTTTTTTCTTCATATATATTTTTACATTGTCTCAGGATGGAGGGTATATCTGGTCCCTTCCTACTCCACACCTGGCTGGAAGCAGCAGTTTCTGGAACTAGGATAACAACTAGGATAAACACTAAATAAATTTGATATTCTGAACTCTTTCAGGTTAAACTGTCAAGTCTGGGTAGGTCAAACAGATAAACTTTATTGAAAAGATGGTTCCATGTAATACATCAAAATGAACTTGTACTTTCTGTATTCAAAAAATCATAAAAAATAATTTGGTGCAAAGACACAAAAACACTGATTCAAAAAGACCCCTGCACCCCCATGTCTATTGCTGCTTTATTTACAATAGGAAAGGCATGGAATCAACCCAAATGCCCAAAAAGTGGATGATTGGATTAAAAAGATGTGGTGCATATACACAATGGAATATTACTCAGCAACCAAAAAAAATAAACACATGTCTTTTGCAGCAACATGGATGGAGCTGGAAGGGATCATTCTGAGTGAAATAAACCAGAAAGAAAAAAGAAAACTACTGGATGGTTTCACTCATAGTGTAAAGGACCAAGGGTAAAAATAGTAATAATGAACAACTACATACCAGAGACATTTTATGGAAGTGGAGTTGGGAATGGGATCACAAACAGGTGGGGGAAGTGCACAGGACTATGGTGATGGCAAATGGGTGATTTGGTGATGGGAAGTCCACAGGGATTACAACTGAGATGGAAAAATGCACAAAATGATGTAAAAATAAACTATTATAATAATGAAAAAATATTTTGGTGCATGACTGCCATATCTTTCAGTGGGAAGAAACTTCCTGATAGTTACATATAGCACATGCTATTAAGTGTTTCATTCATAACCCTGTGTCTGTCAGGGGGTTGCCCAAAGCCACTTGGGGTGCACACAACCAGAGTTCACTGGAAAGGATGTCTGGGGGAAGCTTTTCAACAATGACTGACTCAAAACAGGACCAAAAAGACTCCCTTAGGAGTCTGACAGCTCCCCTCTGTGGGCCTTAACTTGGCAGGGTGACTGGCTGAGAATCCATGCATTGCCTTCTGTCTCATTTTACTCCCTTACTAGATTTTATTGGACATACTTCCTAGTGCATCACCTTAGGAAGTGATTTGCTTTATGGCTGTTGGCATGCGTATACATGATGTCCACTAATATATATTAAATGAACCAGAAACTTAAGTTGTTCTCTCTGGATTGAGCAAGTGTGTGAGCTTCATCACGAGAAATGATGCCTTTGCATGCATGATAAACCATGTCCCCCAATGCCTGGGACTCCAGTACTCCTTCGAAATGTTAAGTTCAACATTGAACCCCTAAAGGCCTGTGCTGGACCTGGGGCCTGGTAATGGCGCCTGCAACCTGACATTCTTCATCACTCAAATGTCCCACTAGGTCATCTTCCATTCTCCCCCACCAGCTAAAACTCCTTGTTCACATACCATGATAATGACCTCATCTTACCAGAGCTAAGGCCCCAGCAGGTGCTCTAGAATTTGAATCCAGGCTTCCAGTTTACACTGGTAATACCCCTCAGCTCGCTGAATCTCAAGTCACCCTCTCCCTTCATGACAAAGTCTGTCAACCTTCAAGGCACAGAAATCATGGTCCTCACTTCAAAAGAATGGGTCACGTCCCATCAATCTCACACCACCATCACAGTTGGGTGATGGGCCCTCCTAGTTAGCAAAATTCCATTTGAGAAATTGGTCAGGATTTCAATTAGGGTTTCTCAGACTCAGCACTTCTCACATTTGGGGTTGGATACTTCTTTGTTATGAGGGCTGCAGTGTGCTTTCCAGGGTGTTTAGCAGCATCCCTGGCCTCTCCTCACTACCAAGATACAAGTAACACTCTGAGTTGTGAAAACCCAAATGCTAAGACCAGGGGATCAGATAGCTAAGGAGTGAAAGTCTCTTACTTGCCAGGTAATCTTTTGTTGGCAGAAGGGTTGCGGTTGTTTACTATGAGAAGCTTCTCTCTGTATCTTTTATCAACAGATTATGACTGAGTTAATCCTGTCTCACCTTCCATACCCACAGCCCACATCAATCTTACACTGGAGCACTAACCAACAGTATTCTTTGCTCATCTGAATGGCAAAGAGAAAAAGGAATGAAAATACCCACGATCATGGAAGCGTGTTACCTCCCACGCTGCCAGAAATGTAGAAGTGACTGTGGAGTATGTGACTTTTCAGGAATAAATATTGAAAAAGATATTAAAACTTGAATGAAATATATTCATATTCTTTGACCCACAAATTCTATTTTATTAACTGGTCAGAGGAGGATGTATGTTGAAGGGTGTTTTGTAAATAATGAAAATTACAAGCAAAATGTTCAGCAACAGTGAATTGATGAAATTATGGTCAAATAATAGGATATTATGTGGCCCTTAAAAATAATCTAGGTCATGTATTTGATTAGAAAGATTTTCAATATGTATTAAATGAAAAAATGTTATAAAACCATGTATTTATGTAAAAAGGTCTAAAGAATAGAACTGGAAATTTTAGCCACAGCTTTGAGTGGAAAAATCAGGTATGATTTTTTCTTTAAAAAGTTGTTTCCCAAACCCACGGGGATTACAATTGAGATGGAAAAAAAAATGTACAAAATGATGTAAAAATAAACTGTTGTAAAATTAAAAAAAAAAAAAGTTGTTTCCCAAATGTAATAAAGTAAAAACAAAAAGAATGAACAACTATAAACCAGAGATATTTTATGGGGGTAGAAAAGGGAATGGGATCAGAACTGGGCTGGGAAGAGTGCACGGGACTGTGGTGATGGCGCACGGGAGAGCTGGTGATGGAAAGTCCATGGGGGTTACAACTGAGATGGAAAAATGCACAAAATAAAGAATGATGTAAAAAATAACTTAAAGTTGTTTCCCAAGAAATGAATATGTAATCCTTGTACAAAATGTATAAAAACAAAGTGCTAATAATAAGCACTACTAATAGCAGGGTCCATGAAGCAGGAGTTTCCACTGAGCGAATGAGAGACGGTTCCCATGATGGAGCTGCAGACTCCTGGGGCCTTAACAGAAAGACTTTATGTCTCCTTTATCCTATTATACATGGAGCCTTATCATTTGGCCACTTGCTTTTCTTCAGTTAGTGCTATTTATTCACTTAAAGTCACTCTCGGCTGTCTGACCTATCAATTTAAGTTCCCCTGTCTTTTATGGAAAGTGAATGTGTGAAGACTGACTTTTATCTTAGCACTCTGGTGTTGGAACCCGGTGTCCAGGGCACTAAAGAAAAGGGATAGAGGCACTTTAGGTTTCTGCTCTTGCCACCATCCTCACACCCAAAGAATGACGCTCAGTCTCTTTCCCACTGATAAAAATGCACAGACCTCCAGGGCATATTATATCTCAGTACAAAATATCTGTCTAATGAAAAACGGAGAAAAATTAAGATAACGAAGAAGAAATAATATGGGGAAATAGCTCCTTCCTCCCACCCTCTGAGCAGGCCTCTAGGTACGAAAGACCCTAAAGAAGGGCAGTTCCACTTCTTCTCTGAAACAAGTTGCTTAGGATCGCAGTCACAGCCCATGGATAAACCATGCTTTCCCCGGGGCTCAGGGAATGATGCCAATTACCTCAGCGCTCTCTGCTCTGGGGAGCCATCGTTAGTGGCTGTCACCACACCAAGGGTGGGAAAAGACTGATTACTCAGCTCAGTTTCAAATAATCGCAGCTGAGGTTATAAAACCAAGCACTTAGCTGAGAGCTCGGAGGGTGCAGGGAAGGTGGTAGACTAGAAAGACCGTGCACCTCCAGCTGACACTCAATCTGATTCAGGAGGGAGGAGAGAATCTCCCTTACTCCCACCAAAGACACAAAAGTTATACAGCAGTTTGTGTACTTTGCACAGAATAAAATACAAATATAAGCAGCCAGACATAGCTTAGCTGATTCCACTCTGTTCTACTGAAGCTCAGAGTGGGGCTTGGGTCACAAGTGCCCTCTGACCTCAGTTCCTGGAGAGCTTGCCCTCTGTCACCCAAATCTGCATCACCTTTTTGTAAAACAGGCAACTTTATTTACTGGTTCAGACATTTTATTCTTCTTGTTCTACACTAGGCTTTGATAAATACAAAAGGTACACAAGTACAAAATTTTGTATAGCTTTGTGGTAGTTAAAAAAACCCATGAAAACAAAGCAATTTTTTAAGTTGGGCAATTTCATCTCTACATATCTGAGTGACAGTCTTGTTGGAATCTTCTACAAAAAATCTTGCTACAAAAATGGTAAAAATAATTTTGCTGGGATTATATCAAAATCTTTAATGAGTCTTTTTCAACTCATTTCAGGGAACCTGTCTTGTGACATCTGTGATGGTTCGATGCCTCACTTGCATTTCGCTTTAGCCAGCAATCCCTTGTCTTTTCAGGGCTCCGGTGGGGAGACCTCCATTTTGCAATCTGTGATACTCTCACCAAAGGAAGATCCTGATACCGGTTTCAGAAACAACAAAGGCTGGATTTAGATGGATAGTTATTATCCTTTCCAATGTAAAAAAAAGAAAAAAAAAAAAGTAATGCTGAAAAAGAATGACGAATATTTCATATTAGCATTAAATTCTCTTCCAGAAAGGATTTCATTTCCAAACTCACACTGCAAATGAATTACATTTGACAAACTTATCTTTTCAAAGTAGTCTTAAAAAAGTTTTCTTTAAAATATTAAGTCTTCCTGTCCCTAGATTCTGAGTAAAAATGATATACTGGAATAGGCGAGTCTGAGTTTGTCTTTGTTTTTTATCTAATGGCCTGCTGGACCTGAGCGCTCCTGGCTCTCTGGCGAGCAGCTTTGGTGTGGCTGGGAAGAAGAATACTCAGGTAATCACAGACAGCAAAGAGGCTGCCGCGGGGCCTGAGGACCCCTGGGGTCCCAATCAGAAGCTGTCCCGCACCTTAGACTTTTTCTTCCTCTGCTTGATAAAGAATAAATTATCATTGCCATCCTCCTCCAAGGTGCCCTGCTTGCCCTTGGGCTGGCTCCGCTTGCCCTCCTTGGGCAGCTTGTCTTCCCTGGGCTTGTGGTGATGTGATGAGCGGCGGAAGGACTTGTGAGGCTTCTGGGGTTTGAATGTGCCGGACTTTGAAGGGTGGGCTTTTGGACCCCTAGGAAAGTCCTCGTCCTCCTCATGACGCTTGTCAGCTTTCCTGCGCTTCTCCCGCTCCCTACTGTTCCTGCCCTTGGCTTCTTTTTGCGTTTCCTTCTTTTCTTGAGTCCACCGGTTGCTTTTCCATGGGGCGTGGCTCTTCCTCTCATCGTGGTGAGGCCCTTTATCCAGGGCTTCCATATGAGTTCTCTTGAACTGTCTGGGAAGCTCCCCATTTCTCTGGAGTTCTGGAAAATACAAAAGTATTTTTCCATATTTAGTAGCTAGATCATTCACGCAGAGCTCTCTAGGCTAATCATTTAGCAGACAGGGGAGGCAGGCATTTAAAAGAGTGCTTCCTAAGGCAACCATCAACTGGCTGCAGTACATTATTTCTGATCACTAGAAAGGGAAGACATTCGGAAGTCCGGTGTCACTAATCTTATCCAATACTTGCACCAGGTTAGAGACTGGAGACGTGGACCAGTGAGAGCCGTGATTATATTCGCTTTGTGAAGAAAAGTCCTGTCTGACCAAGTCAAGTTCCTGTGGTAATGGAGACAGCCCTCTAAGGGGAAGCCACATGGATAAGAGGGCCCGTGACCGTCTCCTGTGACATTTCAATTACCCTCTGAAGGTAAAGTCTGGCCACAGTACTGGTAGTAGAGGCCAAACCGGACAGGAAATTACAGCTCCAGCGGGAGCTAACTGGCTTGGAGAGTGGCACACACACGTGCGTGGCGGCAGCGGAGCCAAATGTGAAGCTGTAGCTGCCAGGGCTTGGCCCTCTTGCTCTAAGTGTCTGGTGGTGGTGACTGAGGGGCAGGTGAGAGATGGTTGTAGTGGGGGCTGAAAATGGGCATCTCACCAGAACCTGGAAAGATACAAGCCAGTATACATAGGGAGAAAAAAAGAATTCCAGGATGTGCAGCAAAAATAAGCAATTACTATGATTTCAACATAAAATAAAAATTCTAGTTAGTCATAGTGAGCCTCTAAGTGGACTGGTGCTAGAGTTTTCAATACAATTAGCAAAAAAGGAAGACAAATTGTTTTTCTATGAATATAAAGGTTACAAATGTTTCTGTGGAAAACCTGGGACACGGAGAAAAGTATAAAGAAAATTACACAGAAAATACCCATAGTCCTTTAATTGAGAGGAAAATTTTTTCCAATTTAGTTGTTTACCTTCATGTATTATAATTTCTATATAGTTGAAATAAATTTTATGTAAAATATAAATATGCAGGAATTGAAAATAATTCCTCTATTCTCCCTCTGAGTCCTTGTTTCCTTCTGTATCTTCATTTTGAAAAGGACTTGGAATCAGAGAGAGTCTACAAAATAATAAAGGCTACAGAGAACAAGTCCAACTTGAACAACAAAGGCCCATTTTGTCCCAGGAGCAAGAAAAGTAACCAGCCTGGTCAACCATTGAGGTAGATGGCAAGAGCGAACAGGGGTAGAGATAACAAACTTAAGTTGTAAGATGGTAAGTTGAGATAGAACTCTACATCAGCACCCGGAAGAAAAGAAATCACAGAAGGACAGCTGTGGACCGAGGGCTCAGCTCGTAGGGTGGCCTGAAGGAGACCACTCCTAGGGGAAGCTCCAGGCAGCAGGCAGCAGGGAAAGCCTCCCTTTCCATGAGCAATACCAGGAACTTATAAAGGAAAAAACAGTTACCCGGCAAACAGAAAAATCTTAAAGGAACCTTTACAAAGTCTGCATCTACATGTGCCTAGAAGTATTTTCCAAAATCATCATATAAGAAAAATGTTTATTGTGAACAGGTTATAACACAAGCATTTTTTCTAAAAATTATGTTTCTTGAAGTGAGGCTGGTTTACATTGTTGTAAATGCTTTGGGGTTATAGGTGCAAGCCTCTATAAAGATATATTTTCATTCTATGCCAATTACGACAATATGGCTGGAAGGCAAGATTCTTGAGGTGGGTACTTGCTTGCTGGTAATCAAACAAGTGCCAGCTTCTGTAATTATTAAAAATATTTTCTGTGCCAAACAGTAACTTCCAAAGTTGATTATCCAAAGACAGTGCAAAAAAAAAAAAAAAAAGAAAGAAAGAAATTTAGGAATGACTGCAAAGAAGATCCAACAAGAAATCTAACAACGCACCTTTTACTTTTCGTTTTATTCTCTGTTCTCTTTCCCGAATTTCATATTTGTCATCGTAGTAATAGATGAACGGAGATGTTGGGAAGGTCTGGTTAGACATTCGTCTTTCTGTACATTCCTGCAAATTGTATTTTAAATTATGACGTCACAAGGTCACACTGTTCACACAAGATTTTTGCAAGACTCTGGATCATGTTAATGAGCGGGGAGCCCACATCACTGACGCCTCACTGCGGTGCAGGATGTGGTGTTGCAGGGACACTCGAAGGAGCCGTCAGCCCAGCACCAGCTTGCTTACATGCTATTATGTGAGGCTTTGATTTGCTCACTGTATTTTTTTTTTTTTTAACCTATGAGACCCTTCTTATCTGCCCCCCGCTCCCAATTTTCCCTGTCAAATGCCTCCTTTCCATCAGGGATGTGGTGTGGTCCCCACTACTTGCACCTTTACTAGAGGGCTTATTTTACTTGTCTTTAAATGTTGTATTAGTCCTTTGCTTGTATATGCCTCCTACTAGCCTTCCATTAAATCAGTATGATAACATAAAGAGCTGCTTTCCTAAACCATCATCCATAGTGGTCCGACCATTTCCACAAAAGACTTGAGTCTAAGATTCTGCCAGGATCTGAATGTTTATGTTCTTCCTCACTCCCCCCAAATTCTTATGCTGAAATCAAAATCTCCACTGTGATAGTGGAGGGTGAAGGCTTTGGGAGGTGATGAGGTGATAAGAGTGGAGTTCTGATGTATGGAACTAGTATTCTTAGGAAAGAAGCCTCACAGAACTTTCTCAGCAAGATATGGACCCTCACCAGACACCTTTGCCAGTGCCATGATTGTGAAAAATCTCAGCTCTGTAACTGTGAGAAAGAAATTTCTGTTGTTTCTAAGTTAGAAGCCCATGATGATAGCTGCTTGAGTAGACACAGACAGTTTCTAACCATAAAGTATTAAAAGTAAATTGTGAGTACCAGGTCACACTGTAATCACTCCTTCAATTCACTGCTATACTCCTCCAATATCCACCTCCCCAGTTCCCAACCCGCCCAACATCCTTTTTGTAGCTTCCTTCCTATGTAGCTACTGACAGCTACCCCCCTCCCCTACTCTAGAGTGGAGTCAGGGAGGCGTAATGTCATCTCCACCTCAGGTTACCTTGCACATGAAGAAGCTGAATTTCTAAATCTGCATTGTCCCAGTTTGGGTCCCCTAAGGTCTATACTGAGCTATACAGTATTTTAAATATTTTCCAAAGCTAAATGTAAATTATATTTTGATTATCCACATCGCTGGTCTCCTCCATTAGCACAGACAATTGATCGTTGGCTATATAATTTATCTACTATTCTGGATTAGCCACACCACTGATCTTCTTCATTAGTGTGGATAATCTAGAGTTCTTCATCTATGGCAGTGATGAGACTGCCAAATTTGCTTCATTATGAATTAGAAATTATCTCAATCTAGATTTCAGGGATAAATTCCAAGTGCTTTCAATGTATTTCCTATCTCTGCAAACAGAAGTGACTAGTAAGCAGTATTTGTTCAACTATAATTGTTTTTCTTTAATTGAACAAACATAAATGTTAAAATTATATTCCTTTGCTTTAAAGAGGTAAGCAAGCATAAATTATACATCTGCGTGATCTGTGTGGCAGTGGACTGCCTATGTGACTATGTTTCCTAAACAGTGTTGGCAACGTCTGAATTTTGGCAACAAGGAGGAATGCACATAGTTAAGAGACCTGGAGACAGTAATTTTGTAAAAGAAGTATTCTCGGAGTTTTCAGTGTAAGTCCTATAGCAGTGAAGTAAGTATATATTGCAGGGTTTCTTCACTGATATCACTGCACTATAGGTTTGCTCTTTGGAACACATGACCCAAGTGTAAGTCTGGAGATAAAGAACCTGGAGACCAGACTGCTGAAATTGGGACTGAAGATCAGAACCTCATTTTAGTTTTTACAGCCCACCCTCTTTCATTCTGCTGCTGCCTGAGATGGAAGATGAACCCGAGCCGCTGCTGGGCTCTGTCTAGCATCCTCCAGGCTGTTCCCTCCCACACTGCACAGCTCCGGCTTCAAAATGGACACCAAAGAAGAGCTGCAGCCAGAATGCAAGTTGTGACCGGTGACTCTATCATCTTACTGCTCAGTCCCTGACTCACTTTGAGGACTTTGCAGCCGCCTCCTGTCTTCAGACCTGATGTGGTATTAGTTCATCTCAGTTTCTAGGCTGTTAGAAGCCTGCCTGGAGACTGCAGCAGATACATTTCTTCACACAGACTTGCTGGTTCCCATGCTAATACCTTCCCTCCTCTGCCTCGAGCTTTCTGTACTCAATGGATGGCTTCTGAGTCTATCCTATTGCATCCTGGCTTTGGGATGAGAGCTGGCTGAAAGACCCCTTCCCCACTCACAGGAAAGTTTGCTTTTCTCTGACACCTCAGCATCAAGAACATACAAAACTTGGCCTTTCAGGTAGGGCTAGGGACTACGCAGGCTGAGCAGGGGATCTGGGCCTTGTGGGACAGAGAGCTGCTGATGCAGCACCTCTTCCTTCCCACTGGTGACAGTCAGGGTTTACATGTGAATGAGGGCAATCTACAGAACAACTATGCCAGGGAAAAGTGCAGATACTGAAGGGCTACACAGAAAATCTAAAACCATGAGGTGGCTGTGGTGAAGCACTAGAATGATAAAAGCTCATGAGAACTGCTATTGTCCTGTTGAGTGTTATTATGTGTCTGGATGATTTCATGAGTTGGGTTTGTTTTAGCCTAACTTGTTCACGCATATTAGAAACAATCAGTAGATGATGCTCTGCCATACCTGGGAGTCTGGTAGGGTGAGAGAAGTATGTCAATTGGATGTTAATTTATATATGTAAAAAAAAAAGCAAGTGTTCAGAATTACACTCTTATCTAATTTCTATTTCAGGAGTTACTCTCTGAATAATGGTGTTTTATGCCCCAAAGCCACTGAAACTTACGTGTCCATAATGGCCTTCTTGCCCACAGTTGTAGCAATATGCTAAGGCTGATTGTCCAGAAGGGGTCTTCGGTTTTTTGGGTGGTCCAGGTTTGGTCTGCAACATGAATATTGTGAGGCTTTATTAAATATTAGAAGAAAATTAAAATTTCATTCTTTTCAAAATAGCTGTTTTTCAGATAAGAGATTCCTTGGAAATACTGCCTCCCAGACTTTAGTGTAGAGGCCCCATATTCAGATGATTCTGTGAGTGAAAATGTGTAAGAACATCATTCTTTTATTTCTAGCATCAATGTGTGCTTTTCTTTCCTTCCTTTCTCCTCAGTCTGTTTGGCACTGTACCCAATGCAGTGTTGGGTAACTCAGACAGGGAAGAATAGTGGGCTGGCAGAACACAACAGATTTATAAACAGGTAGTGACAGAGGTGTGCACGAAGTTTTAATGGAGCAGTAAAGAGGACTCACCATTGGACTTAACAAATCAGTCAAGGAGGTCAGAGAGACCTTCCTTGGATATATAAATTTAAATTTACTCTCATAGAAGTAGGTGTACATTAATGAAAGGCAGGATCGTAGGCTGGGGGACAGCAGGAACAACGGAAACTGAAGAGAGCTCACGTGTTTATGAAGTCTAGGGGACAGGCACAGTTGAAGATGAGGCTGGAGAACCCAGAGCAAGAGATGGAGGACCTTGTAAGCTATAGTAAAGAGCTCAGGCCTTACTCAGTTTAAAGTTTTAAGTGCAGGTGCAGAAGAGTTAGAATTGTATTTTGGAAAAATGACTTTGGCTTGTAGCTACAGGGAGGGTGACTAGAAGGCAGAAAGTTAGATGCCAGTGAAGGCCAATGCAGATGAGGTGACGAGGGCCTCAACAAGAGTAACAAGGACAGGGAAAGGGAACAGATTTGGGCAATCCATGAGAAGAGAGTAAGAATGGTCATGTTCCATCACTGAAAAGACATGGGGAGTAAGGGAACTGAGGCTTTCCAGGTTTGTAACTTGTGTGAACTAGTGAATAGTAGTGCCGACAACTGATTCAGCAGTGGTGGGGAAAGTTGGAGAAGCCAATTCAGAGGGAAGGGTGATGACATATTTCTGGATATTGAGTATGTAGATGGAGATGTCCTTCTGGCAGGGAATGGGACTGAGCTGAAGATAAATCTGAAAGTAGCCGGCAACGTAGTAGAGAGGCTGGAATGACCAGCAGGGGTAGGCTGGCTGCAACCAGTAAGAACAGCAGCAAGAGGTGATGGCACATGGGGCGCTTTGGTGATGGGAGGCCCATGGGGATTACAACTGAGATGGATAAAGGCACAAAATGATATAAAAATAAACTATTATTAAAAAAAAAAAAAAAAAGAACAGCAGCAAGCTCAGGACCCAGCCCTGGGCACAAATCACATAAAGGGAAGGCAGAGAAGGTTAAAGGACCAGAACCACAGGAGAACACAGTCCCAGGTTGTAGAGAGCAGTTCCAAGAAGTTCGATAAACTGATCAACAAAGTCAAGAGAGCAGGGAGGCCTAATGAGAGCAGAGCTGAGAAACACTGTCGGCAGTTGTGCATGGGTAACCTCACTTAGAACAATTCTGCATTCTGTGAAGAGTACAGTGATGGCTGAAGAAGACACAAGCAAAGGTGCTAGCACTATAAAGAAGAGCAAGGGAAGGAGAGTTTACACACAAAAGTGAAGACTGGTTACTTCCGGTGGGGAAAGAAGAGCACACAGAAGGTTTTGGGGGGAGCTGCAATTGTCTATTTCTTGAACATTTCTTGATCAATTATTAATTTGTGTACATGTTTTTATATACTTTTCTGTGTTTTTAAAAGTCAGATGGAAGTTGAAGAAAAGGAGATAGTAGGTACATACTGTTTTGAGAAGAATTAGTAAGAGGCAGAACAGGGCTGGACAATACTCAGGAGGGGACTTGGAGGAGAATATGAACAGAAGGGAGAATACTGAAAGCCAGTAGAGATGGAGAAGCTGAAAACAGGAGAAAGAGCTGGGCAGAGTAAGATACTGAGAAAACAGGAGATACTGTGAAGAATAAGGAGATAAATGAGAATCCCAAACTAAGATGAAATAGAAAAATATGGTAAAAATCTTAAGAGCTGAAAGCACCCGGGATGGCAGGTATCAAGGGAAAGAAGTACATATCCAACACCTATCTTCTATAAAGATAATTCTTTTTCTGAGATGCTGTTAGGACAAAAAGTCTGAAAGAATCAGTCATGTCTAGTTATGAGAGAATCTTAGACAAGCTTCTTTTTTAGTGCTTAAAAAGTAAATATTTTCAACGAAATGCCTATTTTTCAGTGTATGTGACACCAAATTCAAAAGATACTAAAAATTACCATGAAAAGTCTGCCTCTTATTTCCGTAACTCACTCAGTTCCTTTCCTGAGTGTTAAGAGCTTTATGGGCAACCCATTTCTTGGGTTCTCGTGGGGATTGGTGAAGTACATGCCAGCACATGCACGCGAGTACCTATGTATGTATGAGCACACACACAATGCAGTACACACATGTTTGCCCACTTCAAAGTACAGAAGGAAGGGATTTCAAGGACTGGGCGATCAAGAACAAAACTAAATCATCCAAAGACCAGAGACTGCAAAATTCAGTTATCCATTGTACCCTGGGCTTATGTTCTATCTCTGACTCTTGTCAAGTCACTTATCTTAGCCTCAATTCTGTAAATGGGGATCATGTCACGGTGCTCCCTCATAACACTACTGTGAGGCATATGTGAAACACATTCCTCTTTCAATACCTACCAGTGAAACTTGACCAAGTAAACACCTCTTCCTTGAAAGCCTTTCCCCGCTTAACCTCTCAATGACACACTGTTCTGCTTTTCTTCTACCTCACTGGCTGCTTCTTTTCCAGTTTTCTTTGCTGCCTCTTAGCCATTTCTGTGCCCTCCCACTCCACTCCAGGCCTCAGTCAGCTGACAAACCTTCCTTCTCTGCTTAATGTCTCCTTCGGTACTCTCATCTAATCTCGTAACTGGCCACTCTACAATTCCTATATTTGACTCCTAGATCTCTACCAAAATGTTTAACAAGTATCTCAGATTTATAAGTTAAAATCAAGTTCCCATTCCCCAAATATACCCTCCCATTACCTTCTCCAATTCTATCCTAATAGTTGTTTCAGCCACAAATCAACAAACTTGACTTGTCTTTCATACACATTTCATGACCAAAGTTTCTATTTTCAAAATACATCTACTTTGTTCTATTTCACCACTTCTTTCCTGGTCTGACCTGTTACCTCTGATTCTAATCATTGCAAGAGCCTCCTATCTGGTCTCTAAGCTTCTAACCTTGAACCCAGTATATTTTCAACACAGATGCTTTCAGCATGTAAATCAGATTATATCACATATCAGCTCAAAACTCTCCAGTAGCTTCTATCTCACTCTGAATAAAAGTAAAAATCTTTACAAAGGCCCACAATTTGCCTCCCCCACCATCTTACTATTCTACCATTTTTCCTCTAGCAATCCTTTCATACCTACAGCACTTTTCATCATTCTACAAATACTCCAGGTAAATCATCACCTCAGAGTTTTGCATACACTAATTTATTGTATAAACATGGTGGCTCCTTCACCTCCGTAAAGTGTTGGCTCAAATGTCATCATAGTAAAGCCTTCCTGACCACTCTATTTAAAACCGTTACTCTTTCCAATGGCATTCCCTATCTTGTTTCATAGCCTTTGGAAAAAAGAAACACTTTTTTTTTAAAGCTCTGTGGCACTCACTGTACTTGACATACTATATATTTTACTTTTGTTTGTCTATCCCTACAGGCAAGGAGAATGTAAGCTCTACGGAGATAGGAATTTTTGTCTTTGGTTCACTGCTTCCCCACAGACCCGAGCACAGGGCCAGGCATATAGCAGGAGTTCAGTAAATACTGATGGATGAGTGAATAATAAGGCAACGCCTGTGGAAGGCACACAGCGCACAATAATCATTCAATACTTTTAGATTATTATTAATACCTAGATACTTTGGGAACCTATTTCAATATTTTATGTCAGTAAGGAACAACCTATAAAATTATGCCTTGATTTATTTTAAAAAAATTACAACTTCACTTTGACAGTGGTGGTACATATTCTAGAAGAATCAAAAAAGAATTAGTAATGCAAAGAGAATGGAAACTCAGTTTTTTGGTGCCAGGGATAAAGAGATCCTTCTTAATCAAGATTTTGAAAGCATGTTCCATGTTGACAGTTATTTTACTTTGAAAGTAATCTCATTCAAAAAGCTTTAAATTTAGCCTCAATGTTCATTTATGCCCCTGGATGAAGTGCAAACATTTGGATGCTCAGTCATCTGAATAATGTCACTAGTTAAAAACTTCCATTATTACTAATAAAAATAGCAACAGTATTTATATTGTGCTATGAAATTCTAAACTGTTTCACAATAATTAATTAGTAAATGACATGACAAACGCTATCTACATACTTTCATTTTAATAAACTATCGTGTACGAGGGCTTTAATAGGAATGAAATCAGCCTAGATCTTACCTAATTAGAGAACATTTCTGTGTTAGAATACAGTACTGAAAACTCAATAATGATTTCCCGTGGACAAGTTTTCATACTGTGATCGAACAAAAATCTTACAGCTATTTAAAGTGCTGGAAATTTAAATATGTGATTCAATACTTCTGCCTTAGAGCATGTCTTTATTTTTAATTAACAGTAAGGGTCCAATTTAAAGTAGAATGTGTCAACCGATTAGTTCTAAGTTCCAGGTTCTGCTATATACATTTCTGTGCTGAGGACAAAAAGTTAAATGCAAAGGAATGAATGTAGTTTTTAAAAACTTTTTTAAGTTAAAAATTCATTTTAAGACTTTGATCCAATGGGTACCAAGTGAACTATTTATAAAACCAGGTTTTTTTTTTTTTGTTATAGATATTTAAATAATCTATATTTGTAGGGTGATATCTTGGAGATTACTTTACTATCAATATATAGAAGTAATAACCTGGTAGATAGCATTACCTATGAAAGGTCCATCCCATCTGCTATTCTTGCTGAAAGCTTTTCATGCACCAGTAAACTCAGTAA